GGCTGAGTTCTCAGCGCAACCGCACTGATGTCGCTCGATCTTGTGAGGGTGTTGAAGGGCGACAAGCGCGTTTGGAAAGCGATCGGGAGCGCCACGCTGAGTCTCGCGCATCCGAGACGTATACGCAGCGCGAGACGAGACTAAGTTCGCAGCGCAGTCGCACTGATGCCGCTCGATCTTGCGAGAGTGTCGAAGCGCGACAAATTCGACTGGAAAGTGATCGGGAGCGCCACGTTGATTCTCGCGCATCTGAAACGTACATGCAACGAGAGGCGAGGTTATGTTTGCAGCGGAGCCACGCTTCTTTTTCTCGGTCGATTGAAGACGATGAAGAACGGGAGACCCACTTAAGAAGAGACCGCTCTCAGCATGCCCTGTGACGTTCTTTAGAGACAGATCAGCAGCGTGAAGAACGTCGTGCAGCTGTTTGGCAGCGGTACCACGAACTGCTTGGAGATGCGTCTACTCATCTATCACAAGAACGGGACAGAATTCAAGAGATTCGGGGAACTTGGTCGGACGAACAGCGTGCGGCACAAGTAGAACAAGATCGCTTGCGTCGTAACGTAAATCAGCTTTCAACATCTGATGAGGAATCCACGGTTTACGATATCGAAGAGCAACCATGGCTAAACAAAGAGGGAAGTGGATTTATGTACAATGTTGCGATTAACTACGCCGCTTATGGCAATATTGGTGCCTTAGAAGAAGTGTGTGCTCACTGCCAAGCACGCAAATGGAAAGGGGAGCCAAATGGGATGTGTTGTGCATCTGGTAAGGTCCGCTTGGATTCTATGCAGGACCCGCCAGACCTGTTAAGAGTCCTATTAAATGGCGAGCATCCAAAGTCCAGCCATTTTTTGAAAAACATCCGAGCTTATAATAGCGCCTTCCAGATGACTTCGTTTGGTGCAAATCAAATCGTTGAAGCAGGATTTATGCCAACCGTAACGCGGGGATCTAGGGCTGACGAGGTGAATGCTTCGTTGAAACGATCTGCGTTATGGTCACGCGTTCATACGCTGCGCTTGACCATCAATATGAGAGCTCAGCTCGGCGGCAATGCACGCGCTCAAGAATTCTCTGATGTCCTTCTAAGTCTCGGCGATGGTACTCTACCAGAGGAGAGGGGCGGACAGGTGGTGCTCCCAGAATCTCTCGGTAGAGTGGTATCCACCTTAGATGAACTCATTCGCTGCGTGTACGGGGATATCAGTCGAATACCGCACCAACCGAATTTTTGGGCATGCGAGCGGGCCATTTTGACGCCTAAAAATGATCAAGCTGCAGCAATCAATGAAAGCATTCTCTCGGAAATTGAGGGGAATGAAGTGGTGTACACCTCCATACACACCGTAGTCGAGCAAGATGACGCCACACACTATCCGGTGGAATTTCTCAACTCCCTCACAGCAAGTGGACTTCCAGCACATAACATCAAGCTGAAGGTTGGCGTCCCGATCATGCTTCTTCGGAACCTGTCTCCTCCGAAGTTGTGTAACGGGATCCGCCTTAAAGTCATCTCACTGCATAGAAATATTATCGAGGCGGAAATTTGGGTTGTGGCGTCGGCGAGGCAGTGTTTATACCACGCATTCCCCTCATACCTCATAACTACCCCTTCCAGTTCAAACGCGTGCAGTTCCCTGTGAGTGTTTGCTTCGCGATGACTATCAATAAGTCACAGGGACAGACACTGAAGGCTGCGGGTGTCGACCTAAGGACGAGCTGCTTTTCACACGGACAACTGTACGTCGCTTGCTCCCGCGTCACCAGTCCTGACTCTCTATACATTTTGGCTACTGAGAGCAAAACTACAAATGTAGTTTATAGAGAAATTTTATAGGATTATTAAATATGTAGGAATTAAACCATATTCAAAATTCACCTGCGCTATGAGAGGTACTCATGAGGTGAAGTTATACTGCAGCGCCAACTGCAAGGGAATGTGATCTTAAAAGTTGGTCACTAAAAAATACACTTAAAATGACGCAGGCATAGTATTTTTGGTGCTTCACGGCGTCCGCGCGGACGAAGTCGCGGGCAACAGCTAGTTCTAAATATTTATGCAAAAAATTAAGACAATAATAATTGTCTTAATTTTTTAATCAACCAAATTTCGTAAACAAAGCTATTGCTTTGTTTGCATAATATAATTAATTTATATTATGCATTTTTTAATTATAATAATTAATTTTTTTTTTATTAAAACAATTACTAGTTATTAGTCGGATTATAGTCTTTGTCTGAATCCTTAACAGAGGAACGTAATCAGAAGCATTTAGTTCGCGTCTAGAGACACTGTTCACCGTTCAGCATTGAGAAGTTTCTAGAAACTTGAATATGTAGATATGGTGAGCGTTAAGACACTTGAGACGGTTCCAAATACCTTTGTCAAGTGCGTATATATTAATAAATTCATGTGTTAATTAGGCTCATTTTTCCATACACGTGACCTTTAATGCTTTACAAAAATTAACTTGTCATTTGCTATTATTATGTACGGTTCGCGAAAACATGTCATTGCCTCATAATTTGCTTGAAAACAATGTGTTGTTTGAATACGTCTAAGTGGGTAGTAGTGTTATGTTAAATACGCGTGACAAGCGTGAATTGGAATTGATTAGATGTAGCTTTGCCGGCTTTAAGTAGAGCGCTCACCGAGAGCTGAGGCCACGGCTGATTTCAATTTTGTTATTTATGTTACAAGAAACGATTACGTTGATGTTGAACAAAGAAAACAAAACAGAATATTCTTAACATAACAACATCCTATCTGATCTGGTAATAATTATCTAAAGGGGAAGAAGTATCTATATGACTGCATATAACGTTTTATGTTTTTAACGTAATTCTCCTGTATTGTAGGTGAATTTAGAAACACACATAATTTCACATACAAATCACACCCAGATTTGGAACAACAATTTATGGATCACAATCACAAAGAGCAACCGGCTGGTGTGTATGGCAGTTGCACGTCAGCCTGTTGCCCAGAGCCACCGCTTCAACAGTGCAGTCAAAAAACCTTTCATACCAGTTATTGTTCTTAGGGCCAAAAAATACAATATCGCTTTGCCTTAGGGATCACACACGTAATGTTCAGCAAGGCAGTCAACAACCAGGCCACCAGGCAGTTGCAAGAAGAAAGCAAAGAACATAAAACCTACTAGTAGCGGGGCGTTTTTGGACCTTGAATTTTCCCACTATTATTTCCTACACTATTGACTGATTCCTTGTCGAGATTGAGAAGATGTTTTTTCCTGTATTGATTTCTAATAGCGGGCAAGTAAGAAGCCGACACAAAACACACGATTTTTTCCTTAATTTCCGGCCTTATGTTGAAAAATCAAGACGTGCCACAGATGTGTAAAGATTGTTGGAAATATATAACAGAGAATGGAAAACTATTTTCGAAAATAGATATAACCTGAAACCTTCCTTTCGGATGGCATTTTTATTCAAAGGCATATATGTGTAGGGCTATTTCTCGACACATAGAGAACATTTTAAATTGAACAGAGAAACAAAAATATTTATACTATATATATCATACATATTCAGACAGCCTGGAGATGACCTATATAGGTCATCTCCAGGCTGTCTGAATATGTTGTCCTTAAGGTTAACTTCTTTTTCGTATTTTTTTGTCTAAACATTAGTGTTACACTGTTCTCACATATCAGAACCGACTAAATGATGTAACAAAATGTATTGTAAAACTGATTGAAAAAGAGTAACCATGGAGTTTCTTGCTCGTTCTTCTCCATAGGAATCTACACTTTGAAACGAGCAAATAGCTTCACTAGAGGACAGACTGACACGCTTAATTTTAAAGCTCTTGATATACTTTTTTCCTTTTTTGCTTGACGTTCAAAAGTGCCTACTGTGGTCTAATTGAAATAAATTATTTTGACTTTTATTTGTAATGAAAAAAAACACACACTTTTAGCATCAATTATGTGCTATTGCTATTGCTCAGTGCAAAATTAACACCACAATATGTTGCACAGCTATTAGTTGCCTAGCCAAACATATACATGACGGTTAGAAACGCGTACGTACTAAGATTGTTAATACAATGCAAGCATTGTATACATAGCATACATCAAGATGTATGGTGAAGGAAAACATCGTGAGGAAACCTAGTCCTATAATTTCTAATAATAGGTCCAGGTTCAATCCGCCTCGAGCAGGCGTGGTGATATTAATGCCTCAAAGAAGCCTCTGCTCAGCATTGGTCATTTCTAGATGATGATGATGATGATGACAGTCAAACGTGTAGTCAATCATTTACTTTGAGACAATAATAAAATCGTTCATTCCTTCTACTACGATTTGAACATTTAAATATTATATGTTTGTTAAATGGTAATCTTAGGAAACTTTATTCGGCAAAAAACACATCGGTATTAAGACTCAATTGGTCTTTTCCGAATCCATCCTAAGATGAACGAGACATACTTGACAGTAAATCAAGGCAAGTATCTTGTGGAAATCTGGACTTATAATTAAGTTATAACAAACATGGTGGTTATTGCTTAAACCATCTCCAGGAAGGCCTTTGCTCAACAGGGCGGACTTAAAGGCTGATGGTAATGAATTCTGATTCAATGAAGCAAGATTTCGTTAGTATCCATTGTCATTTACTTAATTGGTAGGTATTCAAAGCAAGCTACTTGGGGAAACGTAAATAAATAAAAAGATCTTATTAAAATTATTTTAATATCACATTGATATATTTTCGTTTTTTTTTTTAATTACTGAGTTCACTATTATATGGCATCTACACAGTTGTACAACAAAAATATACTTTGATCAAAAACAACAGATTTCTTCTTATTAATTAAAAAATATGTACTGAAAGTACTACTATAAATTGGAACTCACAGCATATTTATTATAAGTGTGTTTTAATAATGGTCAATACCATTTGTAACAGTCAATAAATATAATATAATATATAATATTTGGTATACAAATCGATTTGTGGATACTCTAAAAACATGTTCAGCTTTCTATTGAACGTACATCGTCGTTTTTAATTATTATATTAAAATATATTATTTACTTAAATTACGTAGCTGTATTTGAAGTTATAATTATACTTCTTTCCGTATTCATAATATTATATCAACTATTTCAAGTTTATTTAAAAACTTTTTAAAGTTAACACATTGTGTGAAGAAATAATTATTGTTACATAAACGAATTATTTTGAAACAAACACATTGCTTGAATTCATATTCGATCAATCAATTAATATAACACAAAGAAATATTTACATATCCAGTCTATGAAAATTACTGACACGAAGCATTTCTATATCTGGTTTCAAATATAATCGAAATTTGGTAAATTTTTCAAAATTTTCCCTAACAGTATTATCTATGACATAGACTATAATACATACATTCATAAAACAAAATCTTGCTATGTAAAGGTACATTCATTCATAAGACCGTTTCTATTTGAAAGAAAAAAATACATAAAGAGGAATGTTTTCTGTAGAAATAAGAATATTTAAAATATAATATTCACATTTATATTAGGTACTGGTGGGCTTCGTAGAACTTCAACATACTGACTACATTCATACTATCGAGTCCAATGACATGTACTATGATAAAATATCACTTCATCCGACATATAATTGTGTGGCTCTCCGTTCTAGCAAGACGGGCATTCACAATCTTGTAATGTATTTAAGTTACAATCATTATTTATGACCATTCAGTGTCTCATAACTGTTTCCAGTTTTAAGGCCAACCACACATCACTTGCCGAATCTCAATTATTCAAAGGTAACTGACCAGTTCACACTGAAGTAGTAAGTCACCGACACCATTCAGTCTACACAAAAAGTAAACATTCTGTACATACAATACATCTACGATACAAACCTATTAACATGAATGAGGATACAACAAATAAGCTCCCTAAATGAAATAAACACTTGAGACACAAAAACAATTATTTACGTAAGACAAGAAACGAAATAGAAAACGTAGAAGAAAATTTTAAAAAGAAAATAGCACTTTATCAAGAGAATACAGAGATCAAAATTAACAGTAAGTAAAGTAACATTCATGCAGGCTATATATAAGTAGATAGACTATAACATATTAGTAAATGAGATTAGCTTATTCTGGTACACAAAATGAAATTATTTGACTAGACCGTTCGGTACGTTAATATACGAGTTAATAATATCTTTCGGCTTCTTCTCGATGTCGACGTCTAACGAGATGTACGTCGGGTTAGTGTGCGCCGTGTTCAGCGCGTTCTTTGCATTGTTTTGGGTCGTCTCGAACACATCGTCTGCCTCCTCGTCTATTCTGGGACACATGTTGAGGTAGGGCGACGCGTTGCCTTCGTGGTCGGACTCCGACCCGCTTCGAGCTGGTAAATTGTTCAGAGTAAGCATTGGCGTTAACTCTGAACCACAGCTACTTGCTTCTGATACCCTCGGGTTAAATTTGCGAGCGTCGAAGTCAAACTTCATGTCCTGAGCTCGAGGACTGAATATGTTCTGCCTTGATGCGGGACTCATTTGTAGATAGCCTTCCTCGTCTGAAATTACATATGGGGTTAATAATAGTTTGACTAAAGTTAGAGAGCACACCATGCCACAACGAAAACTGAATAAAAACTACTACGTCAACCAAACCAAACAAGATATTTAATTGTTTTTAGTTCAGAGGTGTGATGTGTAAGAGTTGAATAGTGCAGTAATCAGTATCAACACAGTTCTTGTTAGTTACAACAAACGACATGCGTTGATTTACCGTTTGTAGAATTTTGCGTGATCAGAATGTAGTGTTAGCCGTTCCGTCTGATAAAAGGAAATCGAATTAAACGGTCGTAAATATTATGCAATACTTCAATACACGTCTCATAGCACAACTACAACTACTGTAAAAAACTTATAGCTATAATGATGCTTTATCCCTTGAACTAGAACTTAAAGTAAGTAGATAATAATGTTCATTAAAATGCACAGTATAGAACCTAAATATGTTACCTTTTTTAACTTCGGTAGCTTGTAAAAAACAATATTAAGATAATTTAGTTTCATATAATTACATTGTTGCGGAAATTTTTCATTTTTGCTCTCCATTATTACAATCTTATTCATTGAACCGAAACGAAATGTTCGCGTTGCAATAAAAATCTGTAGCAGTAAGGCTGGGTGCTAATCGGTGCGAGTTGGCACGTTGACAGTGTAAATTATCCAGTTCATCTATTCGAGCTTAAATCCAGTTGTACGGTGAGCCATACATCAATTGTACTTGATTTACGAAAACAGCTCTTACGTACTACTACGGAACAAAGGCGCTGTCAACGTCAAAATACTGGCATGAATGTGAGAGTAACTATCCCTAAATGAACAGACTAAAGGAATTTTACGGCATGTGATTGGATACGTGTATCCATTGGTCTTTTTTCTGGACGTTCATCGGTGCAATTTATTGTTTTAGTTCTAGTCGATTGGCGCCACTAGCGATTATAGTCTAATAGCTATTTAGTATCACAGTCAATTGATTATTAATCTAGTCTAATCTTGAGTAACATTCACGAATATCTCCTAAAGAGACATTATCTAGAAATGCACTACAGTTACCTAATTGGAAACTAATTAGCTTTGTTTAATTGAGTAAACTTTAATACTATAATTAATTCGAAAATCTACCCAAAATGGTATTTAGGTATGTACAAAAACGATTTCTTTACAGTACCCGGTAATAAAGATTACGACTTTTGTGCTAAAAAAACATTTGTCATTATTTTTATGGTTCTTAGAGAGGGCTCGACTAGTTTTAGCGACTCATAAACATTAAAAGTATACAAAGTGAATTGGCCAATTGTTTTTTAGTCAAAAGTCGATGAGCAATATTTATCGCCTGGTACTGTGTTTCTTAAGATCCAAAGGATCTTTAGTAAATGAATACTGAAGTGTGTAAATAAGACATTAGTGGCTTACCTATCTGTGTTGGAGTGGTTGGGAAGAAACTCCTGTCGTTGACGTAGTGGTGTGGGCTTGGAGTCACCAGGTTGTTGTAGTCTGGCGCACAAACCATAGCCAGGTAGTCCTCACCACCAGGCTTCACATTCATATCCATGTAGGCAGTGTTTAAGTCGACGTAATGCTGGAAAATATTATTAAAATTATAATTTATTCAGTATAGGTTCGAAAAAACACGTGAGAGATAAATGACTGAGTATTTTATCAACATTTTAATTTAAATAAACCTTTCAAATGATATTTTCTATTTGATATTTTAGAAACTTCAAAATTATACGAATTACGTATTTTTAAATTTTTGTTTTTATGTTAATATTGAATGAAGCTAGAAAAAAAACAGAAGCTAGATACAAAAATATCATTTATTTTTTATTGTATATTAATTGGTGCCTATATACTAATTTTATATCAAAAAGAAGTAACTTACTTTTATAAAATCATATTAAGGTATTAACACAGAGTTTACAGATCCGTAACTCTGGAGGAGTACAAAATGCGTTACATAGTCTACTTATGTCGGTAATAAACAGAATTTATTTATTTACTTGTTTTATTTTAATAGGTATGAGACTATTTATATTTCTGAGAATTTTGAAATCTTGGTTACCGGTTTGGGTATAATTAATTTAGAAGTGAAGTTCAAAAACTAAGTTAAGAAACACAAAAGACTAGTACCATAAACTAACTATAAATATATTATTTTAAGCAATTCAAATGTAGCTAGTTAAAACCTTTGTTAAAATAGCTAACATTAAAATGATAAAATTTTAATGAATTCTAAATTTATCCAAGCTTTAGTCTCAATGTAGACACTAGCGTCATCTGTTGGATAAAAGAACAACTACAAACGCCTGCTGAGAGCACTAAAAAGTGAACGTTGTAAGGAACCGAGTTGAAGTTTTAACGTTTTGCCGCAACGTGGCGTGAAAATAAATATTAGTATTAGTGTTTATAAGGAAGAATTTTTAACAAATTTTATATCGTATTTAACAACTTCTATAGAACCACGTTATTAAACCACGCTTCTAAGAAACCGTTGTATTGGTACGTTATTCATTATCCTTTAAAATTTATATGTATAATTCATAAATAAATAAAAAATATGCAATTAAAACGCATTTATGAAATGTTGTTAATACTGGTTAATAATTTTATATAATATCTTTATTTTGGAAAATCTGGTAATAACTAAGAAACCAGGAAAATTAGTACCACGCACGTAATAACAAATGGAGGCAGATAAATTTTGTTGTATTGGTAAATTCTCTACAAATGAACATAGAAACTTATCGGTTTTTATAACATTAGAATAACAATTTACATAATACCGTACTGAGTAGTTAATAATGGGCAACTAGAATTTCTCTGAAGGACATTAGGTAATATATCAGCTATCTGTTTTGTGTTCTGAATTATAAAAACATATTGTTTTATTATTATACCAGCTATTTTCACGCGGTTTCACGCTGCTCGGCTCCATTTGATCCTAGCGTGATGTTTTATAGCCTATAGCACTCAGGAACATTGTAGCTATCTATCAGTGAAAGAATTTTGCCAATCCGACCAGCGGTTCCAAAGATAACCCCTATATACAAACTTACATACTTACAAATTTTACCTCTTTATAATATTATTATAGATTATATTGTAATTTTGACTTACATTTCTCACATTATCCTCTAGGAAACCGCCGAGTATTTCTTGCAGCTGCGTGAACGAAGGTCGGCTCCTTGGTTTCTGTTCCCAGCACCTCATCATCACGTTATAAAGCCGGTCATCAGCGTAAGGTGGCTTCTCTAGACGTTTACTGAAAACATTTGATATCATTGTTAGTTTAAATAAGGTCTAGTTTGGTACAAAATTTAAATGAGAATGGAAATAGATATTAGTGTTAAGTGTGGGAGAGCCAAGCTTCGGCACAAATGGGTCGGCTCGACCGGAGTGATACCACGGTCTCACAGAATACCGGCGTGAAACAACCCACAGCGTTGTGTTTCGCCGTGTGAGTGAGGTTACCAGAGGCCTAATCCCTCCCCTTCCCCTATCCCTTCCCAATCCTTATATCCGCAACCCCCATCCCCAAAAGGCTGGCAACGCACTCGTAACTTCTTTGGTGTTGCGGGTGTCCATGGGCGGCGCCGATTGCTTACCATCAGGTAATCCGTATGCTCGTTTGCCGACTTATACCATAAAAAAAAGATCCGATCGATGATTAACTAGAGACTGACTGATGAATCAGTCGAAGGATCCTCTTTTTAGAGTTTAAAAAACTTCACTGTTTGATCTAAAACCCCATTGATTTGTCATCTACAACGGGATAAAAGTGTGTTGAGAAGTTTGTGACAGTTTTCTAGAACTTAAAAGAATATCTTCTGTCATTTTGAATTAACACCATGTAAAAAAAGCGTTTTCAATAAAGTTACCCTCTATTTTGTGTATTTTTAGAGAAATAGATTAGACTAGATTTTACTTGAAATTAATAACTTACCCTTCAGAAAGCCACTGCAGTAAATGAGCGGGACTGATGTTTGGGTAGGGTGTCTTGGCCAGGGAGAATAGCTCCCACAGCACAATGCCGAATGACCACACATCTGACTGGGTCGAGAAGATGCGGTCCGTCATACACTCAATAGCCAGCCACTTGACTGGGAGTAGACACTGAAAGTATAAGAAGCTTTATTAATTACTATTGTAACTTATTTTTGAATAGTAATTATGGTGGGACATACTACATTTAAAAAATCATGTCTTTTAGTCGCGACATGCTGTCGCGTGTCGCTACGCGACAGCCCGCACGCTGCTCATGAATAAGACTCCCGTTGTGAAGTCATGCAATCATAGTTCTAAGCTAATTGACGTAAGTTAATCTTTATTTTTAATACAGTTTGCGATCTACTTTTAGTTTTTAGTTGTATCATTATGTACTGTACAAGTAGGACAAAAAAACGAGAATTTTAGGTAGGCCAGTTTATAGATATGCTATCACTCTCATTATTTCTAGATGTCATATAAATAGGTTTTGTAGGTTTTAGTTACTTACACTTAACATATCAGGCCAAAATCTTATGACACAATGAAAAACATATTCAGCCGAATGCTTTGTGAGACAAAGGATTTGGTTAAATAAATATAAACAAAACATTTACAGAATTATTAGCCAGCTTGTTAAAAGAATTATCAGCATATCTATTTAGAAATGATTCGTTAACGTTATGTAAATCATTTTCTTATTTTAATTAATACTGCTCAGATATTATACGTTTAATCAATTTCTGTTGTATAATAATATGACGATATTTACTATGTATAGTAACATTTCTACAATAGTAAACCTCGAAAGAAAAATCGCTTTCGCATTTCCTTGTCCGACTATTGGTATCGGTCCTGCAATCTCTCGAAGGAATACAAACGGGTAGAGTATGCACGCACTAAGTTCTTTAGTGATAACATCATGACAATCGAGTTTGCAGATTGACTAAAATATAATATTCTATATGTGGAGTAGAACATAATACAAAAAGAGCTTACTGCTGATTTATAATCTAGAAATTATATAACGAAAATAAATGACTAAAGTTCTGTTAAATAGTCGTCTGGAAGACTAATTGTCAATTCATCATGTGTGTTCATATCTTACAAAAACAAAGACTTTCCACGATACATTGATTTCAAATGTCATGTGACGTTATGATTTAGTATGGTAAATAATGTGCGGATATTTTTCAAAGCAGGCAGTTCAGAACCAACGTCTCACTCTTAAACTCCAATCCTACTACTATTATAAAGGCGAAAGTTTGTAAGTATGGATGTATGGATGTTTGTTACTCTTTCACGTAAAAACTACTGAATGGATTTGAATGAAACTTTGTCACAGTATAGCTTATACATCAGAATAACACATAGGCTACAATTTTTGAGGTTTCTAATGTGAGGTCGTAAAAAAACACATTTTTGCGCTTACGTTTCCAAAGCAAAGAATCTGCATGTTTATGCTGAAGGAAAAAGATCGTTAAATGTAGTTAATAGGAGCATACTGCAGTAGCTACCTATAGACCTACGATTAGGGCTCTGCAGTGCTTAGTTACCGTATTTCTTACTTATTACTAGACTAGACGGGACGAACCTGAGGTCCAGGCAAACGAAGTCGCGGGCAAAAGCTAGTATGATATATTAGAGTATAGTCTCCTCAGTTAAAAAGAAATAAGAAACAAGGTGATCAAGAGTTTTTCATTACCTGGCTGCCAGACTTAATAGATTTTAAAGTTCATACCCTGTCATACACATACACTTCTTTCCTATTTTACCTATTCTTTTAAAATAGGAAAGAAGTGTATTAGTAATTTTTATTATTCAAAGCAATATTCGAAAAGAAGTGTAGGTAAGTACTTAAACATTGTTTAAAATTGTTTACACTTTTTTAGTTTGGTTTTTAAAATACCGGCCAACTATTTTGAATGATATTTTAAATACTATTTACGATGTAGAAACGTTAGTGTTCCATCAATTTGAATAAGTGTTTACTTTCAAGATGACCTTCATGCTCACAAAGGTCATTCTAGAATCATGTGAGTACTTACGTTTTCTTTCTTTTGATATTCATCGTTTTTATAGATGCTTCGAGCAAGACCGAAATCGCAAATCTTCACAATGTTGTCTTCGGCTAATAATACATTTCTTGCAGCTAAATCACCGTGAAGGACCTGAGAATTTTAAGTACATTTTAATTTTAGTCTCGACTCTGTCATATGACATGGTTGTTGCATAACAGTGCCATAATATGCAGGCTTGTTTTGGAATGCGGGTAGAAATATTTATCAGGAAAACAAGTACAGTAATAATTTTCCTTGACAACGTCACAAATAGTGGAAAATTTGTTAATCTGTTCGTGCATTTTGCAGGTAGACTATAAACCTTTTTTGTGGCTCCTTTAAAACAATGATTGTTACTTACCCACCAATCCCAGAAGAGGTTAACAATAAACTTGATTGAGAGAACATAGGGCCTTACAGGCCTACAGGAACATAGGCCTAACTTAATGGTCTTTCTGAGTATACTAACCTTTCTGCTAGCAAGATACTCCATCCCTCTAGCGATCTGGAAGGCCCACACGAGCAGATCTCGTGAGGTCAGAGGGCGAGGATTGCGTCCATCGAAGCTGTAGTCACTCTCGTAGTTCGTACGCCACTCTGGTTGTACATAACCTTCAGATACTAAAAGAAAGAAACAAAAAACATTATAAAACCTGAAATGCTAGTATCGAAATTTCTTTACAATTCAAAAATTTCTTAGGGAATCGTTACACGTTCATATTATTGTGCATCTGAAGAATCACAACTAAAGGAAAAAGATTCAAGCCCCTATAACTGACAGAACACATTCCAACCGCAAGTCTAAAAATAAAAAATGGAACAACCACCATGATAGGAGTTGTTTATCAAAATGGAACGTAATGACGTCAGGAGGTTTTCCTTGGGACATTTATTTCGAAATAAGTTTTGCCTGTGACTCTGTCTCCATAAAATAATATTTTGAACAGTATTCGTTTTTTAAACATAATATGTTGTATTATACCCTAAACGAATGTTGCTTTCGCTTAATACATATCAAAAAAAAAGTTTCTTTCAAACCCATTAGTCCCAAAAAGCAACCGAACGAACAAACTGTGTAAACATAATATATAAACAGATTTTTTTTTCTCAATGCAATGTCCTACATATCTTATTTTAATCATTTTTCAATTAAAAAGTATTTAATAAAAAGAAGCATTTAATGTTATTCAAAAAAAAGTATTTAATGTTAGGATGCAGTGTCTCATTGTTCATGGTTGAGGTTAGTGTTCACTGCATGTGCACGTGAATGCACGAGTATTCTCACACTTTATCCTTGTAAACCATTCAGTAGTTAACTTCAATTGTAGACGCGTTGAAATTGCATAAAAGATTGATTGCACCTAGTTACGGCCAGCATAGACTTTAAAGTATTTTTTAAACTCTCACACAGCTCTCGACGCATTTTTTGAGTTAAAAGTAGAATTAAGTGAGAATCTATTTGCAAGATTTTCTATACAGTAAATTTTAAGTTATAAACTATCACAATCATAAGACCAGAGGCAAAAGCCAGCCAGTTTCACTGTTTAAATTGTACTGTGTTTATTGGTAGAACTAACAATAACCGTATGTGCATGTACAGTAACCAGCAGACTATTCAGATGAAAATTCTTTAATAGGTTTTGACTATACTTTGTTTAAAATATGAAAAATAAGTAATGTTAAGATTAATGGTCAATAACCGGCTTACAATTGGAAAGATTAACTTTATAATCACTTCAACGAATAATAACACATTCACAACAAGACAGAAAATATTCCTTTAAAACACCTACTCTTAATACTATGAGTGCTAGTAAGGCGAGTGCGATTAGTTACAAGCGATAAGTTTAATGTAACAAAAACATTTTGTGCACACAAAATAAATATCACAAAATTACTGAAAAGATAACGTAAATGCAATTACGTATTATCGCAGTGATAATGAATCAGACAACACCGCAAAACATATGCTAACACAGTAATTACTGAACGAAAAAACAAAATCAGATTTGATGCAAAAGAAGTACCAAAAAATGCACCAAAAAGTTACCTTTAACGAATTCCACTTGATGATTTTGATTTTCTGGTAAAAAAGGATAAGCGTTTTAAGATTAACCAAAAACAATATTAACAACAAACTATTGTTAATGAAGGAATTAGGTACGATTATTAGGACGTTTTTGGAGTCGACTTAATCGTACAAGCAATCATGCCGATCAATTTGCCAGAACGTTAAGGCTCTCTACCGATATCGATCTTAGATTCATCTTTAGCTAATTTAAAAGTAATATTTCAATAACCGACTAAACTTTTTGCTTCATCTATTCTTAATCAATCAGACTACAACCCACGTACTTCTTCAGTTTTTATCTTATTGTTGTTGTATTGTAAAAAAATATGTTTGAGCTGTTTTTTGTTAGTAACTTGTCTGCGTATTAAAATTTGTCGTCCGTCCTTGTTAAACAAAGCATATTTTTACCTACCTTTTCTTGTCGATCGGTTAGTGTTGGCCGAGTTGACAAATGTGTGGTCGGTGTCCTGTGTGCATGAAGCGAAATAGTCCGAATGGGCACTGCGAACAAAAAGGAGTATGATAGTTTTCAAATGATGACACCTGATGGTATGCTAGCTTTTACCTGCCTTTTTAAATATGTAAATTCTGTGGCTTGATCTAGTCCTGTATACAAATACAACAGTAAACTACAGTATCTCTCCGATTTCTTAAGCATCACTTATCACATTATTGTGAATATTAACGGAATCCAACAGCTAGTATATCAGCAGTAGCTGTTTATTATTAGTAGCACCGCAACAGTGTCGTGGAATGCTGCTCATGAATATGGGCCTCCAGCATGGCTTGAAACTAGTCGAGTATCTCTTCAAACAATTACGTGAGTAAGCCGAAAACACAATAATTAATTTAGTATGTCTCACGAAAGTTATAATAAAAAAGCTAGTTTATTTATGTATAAAACTAAATTTCTTTTTAGAAGTGCAATTATTCCATATAGCTCCATCGTATCAACGAACAAGAGACGGTCGCAATTTATGTTTATTTCACTCACCCAGTACTTCCACTGCTGCTTGAGAATCCTCTATTAATTCGTCCCAGATTCTTCTCCTTGTTATCAGTAAGCTGATCAATGAACACCTCTCGGTGCCTCTGCATGTAATTGTGAATATTACCAAACTTGCAATACTCAACAATTACTATCAACTCGCCTGGAATTACCAAATTATCTTTTATTAATACTGATGTTTATCAGTTTTATTTGAACGCATTATTATTAGAAGCATTTCAATCAAAGAAATCTTGTAAGTCGCTAGGAAATATTTGAAAAAATCTTATGAACAGCACCAAGGAAACGGATTAATATTTATAGATAGGTAATATTTTTGGTCATACGGAAACTCTATGATATAAGCTACATTTAAGGTCTTCGAAATAAAGACTACTTTGGCTTTACTTTTTTACCTTTCAAATTGCTATTTTAACATTTTAAATGGAAGGCAGGCATAGCAACACTCCTTTATGAATTAAATTGTATGAAGTAATACGATTACCTTGATGGAGTCTAAAACGAGTGAGTCAGCAGAAAGCATTGAAAGGACCTTTACGTAAGCCTATAGCCAATTTGTTGATCCTTCCTAATGATGTAATAAAATGCCTATTAAGGTGTAATAAATGGATTTTTACACTTGTGAAAATTCTGCGATGTTCAATGAGATAGCGAGCAATTGCTGCTATTTGCATTGCATTTGTTACTTAGTTTTAATTGACTGTAAGGTTAGCGCGGTGGCTGGGCAACTGGCTGCCCCGCAACGTGTCGCGGGTTCGATTCCCGCACGGAACACCTCTTTGTGTGATCACCACAAATTGTTGTTTCGAGTCTGGGTGCGATGTGTATGTGAAATTGTATGTTTGTAAACGCACCCACAACACAGGCGAAAATACAAGTTCGGGGCAACGTTTTCATATAAAAAAATAATAATAAACATACGTACAGTATGATACTCTTTAATGTGAGCAAGCAAACAAATAATCAAATTTTCCTTTTCTTTTATGATTAACAAAAAAAAATGTGTACCTATTTGTCTAAGAAAGAGGATACAAAATTGTTAGAGTTTTACAAACAAGACGAAATTGCAGAAGCAGTGTTTGTATGTTTAACAAGAAGAAATAACATTTCCTATGTAAGTAATGTAGGTAAATAACAGAAATATCTTACGTTTCACAACGTTTTTCGTGCACGCTCCGAGTAGGTTCACAATGTTTATATGTTTGCCCAAGTGCACCATTATTTTTAGTTCGGAGGCCAGTGCTTTGATATACATGTTGTCGGCCGTTTTTTTAACCATTTTCACAGCTACCTCAGTTGTTTCTTCAGCGTTGATGATGCCACGCGCGTCTGCCTTGTATACTACGCCAAATGCACCTGCACCTAGCTGTTTACCTACAACATTTGTTAATGATTTAATTACAGTAATGAAATAATAAAATCATTTTCTATATAAGCTTAAACTAATAGTAGCTATTGAAAATAAATTTCCTTGTTTACTTTTTCAACAACCAAAGATTTAGTTCGTTTCATCTGAATTGTAAATTAAAATAGTTACTACTAATTATAAAAAAATACTTTGGACAGGTAGTTTCTTTTTTTAAATTTGTGACAAATTGAACTGTCAATTAGCATATAAGTACACTAATTTGATTTTTATTTCATTAATTCTTAACGCCATAGGCAATCTTATAAGTATGTGTTTTGTCCATAAATGGTAAATCTGACTAAAAATTAAAATTGTATGACTTTAATCTAAATTAACAAAAAATACTCTTTTTGAGTACCTAATCTTTCCTGTTACTTACTTATTATCTATACTGTTCAAAGTTTGTTCTTAAATAAGATTTTAAATTAAATACATGTATTTGACAGAAACTCTATACAATTTCTAAACTCCATCTTAATCCAAAGATTTTAGATTGAGCTCAGTTATCACTGAAGTAGATCATATGAAAAGAACTTACCAAGAATTAATTTATCGGCAGGGAATTCAAATTTCTCATCATAAGGCAATAAATCAGCTTGCTCATCAATGCCCAGATCAGGGTTCAGCGATTTCGTAGCTCCCTCATTGAAGTACAGAAGACCAGATGCCTTCAATTCTTTTCTGAATTGAGTATCCTTTCTGACCCTCCACATAAGGTACAGAACCACGACGATTAAAACAAAGATGACTACGAGAATAATGCTCAAATATAATTGGTATGATGATGCTGAAAAGTAACAAAAAATGTATAAGTAAATGGTTGTAACATTCACTGGAAAATATCACTACATACACGCGTATAATCGAAAAGAAAAAAAGAAAAAGAAAACTAAAACTGAAACTAAACTTTTTTAAAAGAAAACTATTTTTTTTGACAAAGTTTTCACACGCTATGTATCTAATTTATGATGTAGATCACGAGTGTAGTACTGAATGAAAAATTCAGTGTTTCGTCATTATCAGTGCAGTCGTTTAGGAGTACATAATTAATACACGAAATTTATAAAATACCTTTCAATGCAACTGTATAAACCCGGCTTGCTGTTAGTCCATCGCTGCTAGCTAAACATTCATATGTGCCCTTGTTTTCTTCCACCAGCCGATCTATTCGAATAGATGAATTCACCATAGTATGGCCGATCTCATGAATAAAAATCTTTGCGTTTGTATCATTTCCCATTAAAACGTCATCCTGTTAAAGAAAAAATGTATACTTATTATGAGAATTGTAGATAGTTTGTGTTATTTAAAATGTTGCTTTTATTGTGACCTTTACGACAACGAAATAAAAAAAATCAAATTTAGGTAGTTGCGCTACATACACTTTTTTTATTAAATTTTACAACAACAGTGAATCGACTTAAAAATACCTACAATAATTTCTGTATCTGTACTTATATTATAAAGAGGTAAAATTTGTGAGTTTGTAAGTTTGTATGTAGGGGGTAATATTTGGAACCACTGGTCGGATTTCCAAAATTCTTTCACTGATAGAAGAGAGAGTAGCTACAATATTCCTGAATGCTATATATAGGCTATAAAACATCACGCTACGATTAAATGGAGCCGAGCAGCGAGTGAAATCGCGCGAAAGTAACTATAATATTATAAAGCTGTAAAGTTTCTTTTTTTTTTTAGTTTGATAGCGCTAATCTCCGGAACTTCCTGATTCGAATTCAACAATTCTTTTAGTGTTCATTTATCCATTTATTGAGGAAGGCTGAACTGTAAAACATCACGCTACGATATGTAGGTGCCGAGCAGCGGGTAAAACTGCGGGACAGTACTTAGTTTTTAATAATTCTCTCTTCATAGTAATCAATGATTATAGGTTACGATTCAAGATAACAACAATATTTCCGTAGGGCGGCGATCTTAATAACACTAAAACGTAGTGGGACCTGGGAGTGGTAGTTAAAACCCCCTTACTTCATAATACAGTGAGTAAATAAAACAATGTTACGTCAAACTTTACCTTGTACCACTCTAATTTAGGGGGCGGCACTCCCTCGGCTTGACAAGTTAGCTCAACCTCTTGATAAGTCACCACTTCTATGGTCTGGTCATCTTCTGGTTGGTTTATAATTGGTGGTAGAAGAGCTGTAAACACAAACACAAGGTCCTTTTTATAAAATAATTTGGAAACGTCAAAAAAAGCATGTTGATTTTTATTTTTCCATGCTCACAAAGCTAACTGAATAATCTCTATTAATATTAATTAGCTGGAGAGTTTATTTATGTATTTGTTTGTTTGTTTGTTTGAATGCGCTGATCTCGAGAACTACTCCTTCGAATTTAATTATTCTTTTTGTGTTTGTTAGCACATTTATCGAGGAAGGCTTTAGGCTATAAAACACCACGCTACAATCTTTAGGAGCCGAGCAGCGAGTGTAACCGCGTGACACACGCTAGTATATACTAAAAAAAAAAAAACTTAAATGACCAACTTACGCGCAACTGTAATGTTGATATAATCAAACTCGATATTCATGTTCATCTTCGATCCTTGACAAGTATACACACCGCTGTGATTCAAAGAGATTTGAGGGAATTTCAATTTAGCCATAAGCGAAAACTCATTTTTCGAATATTCCACAGCATCTGTTCAAAATGAGGTAAATTGTTAGTGAAGTCATTGATGACGCAAGTCATTTAAAGTTTTAAATAAAAGCTATTCTAAGAACTTACTCATTCCTCTCAGATCTTCGGCTTCTGGACCTATCCAGGTGACGTTGTAAAAGTCATATTTGGAAGCAATACAGGTGATAGTCACATCCTCATTTTGCGAGAACCAAGTTCTCTCTGAATTCCTTATACCGAATCCATTGACAATCTCGTAAACGAGAAGTCTTCTTGTTTCCGTTGCAGTACTCTCAGTGTTAGATGCTTGACAAGATACGTTTCCAGATGCATGAACTGGTATAACTATAACTGCTGTTTCTGTGTACTTGGTGTGCTCATATACTTCTGTACTAGGCTGCAATGAAAGGTTATATATGCATTGATATGAAAATGTTACTAATATTAATGACTGATACATCGATACTAAATTTATAAAGGGATAAAAGTTATTTGCAATTTGTAATCTTTAGAACAGCGGTTCTGACGGTCGGATTTATAAAATTCTTTCACTGATAGATATGTAGTTACAATGTTCCTGAATGCTAAATGCTATAAAACAACACGCTAAAATCAAATGGAGCCCAGCAGCGGGTAAAACCGCGTAAGAGTAGCTAGTTATGAATAAACAAATACATCGATTAAGATCTACAGGTATTTTATTGTTAGTTTTCGTAACAACATTTCTATAGTTTTATGGTCTACAAGTCCAGTTTAGAGAACGGAAATAGAAATGAAACTAGAACATTTACATTCAATCGGTTCTCGGTAATGCTGTATAGCTCAGAAGAGAAACACAACCAATTGTATAAAGCCATACTTCGGCGCGAATGGGCCAGCTTGACCGGAATGATTGATATACTAGATGACCTAACAAAAATCTGGCATGAAAAATGGCAGTTTGTGTATCGCCATGTGAGTGCGGTTTCTGAGACACAATCCCTAATTCTCAAATTTCTAATACCTCCAAAAAGCTGGCAATGCACTTGTAATGCCTCTGATGTTGAAGGTCCATAGGTGATGCCGATTGCTTACTACCAAGTGATCACTAGTATGGGCCTGGCACTAGGCCTTTAATCACAAGTACGTCTTCCTGCTGATGATGATGATTAATATAAGTATGCAGGTATAACGTTTTTCCCATAAAATAAATCCCTATTTACCATTGTCTGATTTTCTCCTCCTTCATTTGAGAATATCCAAGTAATTTTCGGCAGAGGATATCCAGTCACCTGACACTGTAGTGATGCCATTGTGTTTTGCAAATATTTCTTATCGACATTAAGTCCGAAGTCGATAGTTGGTTTTGCTAAAAGACAAAGACAGAAACATTTAATTTTTAAAACAATTTTCCTTAATATACTTACTTATTAACGTATATTAACGCTATGCGCATCATATCAATTGCAATGCAATTTATAATATAAATATTTGTAACGTATACCTGTTTATAAATCATAGTACATCAATTATATTTTGTTGAAGTGAAATTAAGTGAATTCATTACATAAAACCACTTCAACCATACTCCAAAGTACATGACATCACTAGTTAAACTTACATAACAGGTATATAATATTTATCTATTTTTATAGTTGCTAATGATGTAGAAATAGATAGTGAATGTGGAATAATCGATTATACTTTTTTCATAATTGGTCACACAGTCCCTTTAACATTGTATTTTCATTGCATATTCTCACATTATATACTCATTGATTACATAAACTAAAATTAAATATATATATATATAAGAGTAACGAAATAGTTTCTTGCTCGTTCTCCATGGGAATCAACAAATATCTACCTTGATTGCCACAGACTGGCACATAATATAACGTTTTAAAAGATTTTTATTAATTTCCTGTTTAAGAATTAATTAACTGTGGTAATTTCACAAAAATGTTTTTAAAATATTTTAAACGTCTAGACAAAAGGAACAGACTTTGACTGAAGACTTTTTTTGTTTTTTTTTTTTCGCTTACCAGATAGTTTTAATTACCATTAGTTCCTATTTGTACTCAAGGAAATCCTAACCTACCTGTCAAACCGTGCAACAATCAAATATAAATGAAAATAATGACTTACTCAGATTAATTAAAAGATTTCCGTAATATTATTTCAGTAAATTCTCGCGAATGAATAAATAAACACGTTAGAGAAATGGCACAAACTTTGATGAGTTAGTAAACATTATTGTCGATAAATTTTGCATAATAATATGCATGGGTATTATACATTTTTACAACTTACATTTTATCAACACTTCGTATGTGTAATTTTTTTTCAAGTACTTATTAGAAGCAACCAACGTGTAATTAGCAGAATCGAATACATTTGTTTTAAATATACTCAGAATGACGTCACCAGTTTTAGGGTTCCGAGTCACATCGTATTTATTGGGATTTCCTTCATCGTCTAGCGGCAACGATAAGTTATTGCGTAAACTGAAAATGAATTGTAGGTACTGAATTATAAAGAACACAATCACTCGCAATACATCTATAAGAATTATTTTACTGGCAAATAATTTAAATAACTAAATTATTCAGCTTTTTTTTGAGGGGGAAAATCGTCATTTCTTCTTTCACCGACGGTGGAGCGAGGGGGTGTCTTTCTTTCTAAAAACCACCCCATTCTTTCGCTAGTCAAGGCCACGGAACATTAATACGCTTGACCGTTGACGTGTAACAAACACGGCACATTATTGGCACTTCGAGGCAAGCGTGGAAATGATCCACAAATTCCTACCAAACCTCAAAAAATGGCAATGCTCTTGTTGCTTGTCTAGTTCTGCAGGTATATGATTGCTTACCATCAGAAAAACCGTCAGTTCGTTTGTCACAAAAAAATAATCTCCCAAATATCGATTATTGATCAAAGAAATAGACCATGTAATGACTTCTCTTGTGCTACGAATGTCTGTGGGTAGTGCTGATCACTTATCATCAGGACGCCCGTCATTTACTTAACCCTCATAAAGAGAGAATGGAAGAAGCCGTTTGATGAAATATTAACCCTCAAAAAAAATCCACCATAAAAAAGAGAACTTCAACGCGGCTCGTTCTTTTCCATTCGAATCTTATTTAGAAAAAGCACTGAGCTTCACTGATTTCAAAAATGACCTGTATTGGTAATGAATGTTTTGGAGTTTGATTTTGACTTTTTAATTTTAATATAAGTACCACTGTATTATACTCACAAATAAAAATTAGCTGTAGGATAATCGATCACTTCAGTATTAATTCTCACTGTTTTCAGTTTCGTTATTACCGGATTAGTATTCACTGGAATCAATTTAAGACGAGGCTCGGCTAAAAATAAAAAGCACACGTAATTATTTACTCTATATTGTGTAAGTAAATGATTTAAAACTAAGAAAACATAATCAAATGATTCTTTAAAAGACTTATATATATAGTCTAAATGTTACTATTAAAAAAATGATATATGCATCTTATATTCGCTATCATCAAAGAATTGAAACAATGAAAGGAATGATACAGGTTGACATCGCAAAGAGGCTATAATTATATGTGTATTTTTTACAAAAATGGAACCATGAAACATTATTATAAATGTGCGTGTATAGAAAATCATTTTTATCATTCAAATCTTTGATGATTTTGATACCAAAATTATTAGTAATAACTTTGCTAAGGCATGCCTGCATTATATATGTATAATAAGTTGCTATATTTGTTAACTTACTTAAATATTCCTTCGTGATGGGCTTTGACTTTTCACCACAATTGTTTTTGGCAACGCAGACGTAGCGGCCTGCATGATCCTTTGTCGCGTTGATTATAGTTATATTCTTGAATAATATGTCCCGAAGATTTTCAAATTCGTTCGAATCATATTGAACTGAATCCTAAAACATAATACTACTCATTGAATATCCAAAGCTTATGTAAAACATATCAATGAACAATATTGTTAAACACAAAACAGAAAATAGTTGGAAGATTTGCAATTATCCTGGTTTCTCTAAAAAGGGAGAGAAGACCCTCCTCCTTTTTGAAGTTAATTAGAAATTAGTATATTAAAAAAATATGGTGCCTCATCATCGCAAGGCTGCGAATGAGAGAGGCCTATTAATCCAAAGGCTGTCAGGTAAGGATTGCAGGAAGCCATGTAAGAGCACCAATTGGATACAATGCATTTGGATTAATTCATTTAAGATTTTTTATTTGTAATTTTTGACTAAAAAGACGTCTGTCTCCAAAAAATTAAAGCCTGTTAAATGCTAGTGCATTATTATCAGTTTTTAGTTCGGTTCAACGATTATCAATGTTTATTGTATCAGTTAGTATAAGCATAGTACCTTTCTTACATTAGTGGGTAGCTCCCAATACAAGTTGACAACAGTATCGGGTCGATAAGCAACGGAACAACTCAATGTAAAATTTTCTCCTTTCAAAAACAATTGAGAAGTCCGCTGTATTATAGGTAGGGGAGGAACCCTAACATCTGCAAACAATAAAAAATATTAATTTTGATTAGAAACATAGAAATATAAGTTCACGAGAGACATTTGCAAAGGATTTGAGTCTTGTAAATAAAATTCGATCGCGGAAGTATTTTCCAAACTTGCAAGATGCTCTCGTGGATAAATAAAAAATACATCATGTAAACTACATATTTTTTACACAATATTAATAAATAAAATACATAATTATTATTAAATACATAATTTTAAATAAATGTATAAATCTATTGGTATAATTATTATCAAACGATTAAAAATTAATTTTCAAAAAAAGAATTATAATGGTAACGGTAATCAGTTACTAAAACTCAAGCAGCATTCATTTATTTAATTTTAAATTAAAAACAAAAACTGTGTGAAGGACGCAAAATGCTTTCAATTATAAACTCATTGCAGGCAAATAATGATTGACAGCATAACTAAAAAAAAACTGAATATGGAATTCAAATGAACCCACCGTGAAAACATTAGGATATAAGTACCACATAACATCAACTAGCTAAATAACAAATAAATTAGAACAATACAGTGTTAGTTATAGTTATATCAAACGTTTACATGCATACAGAACTACGCAGAGCAACACACCAAAGAAGTAGAAAAGAAAGAAAGAGTAGTAAGCCTGAGAAGCTGGTAACACAAAACACCGATGATTAAAATTCTTCTAGAGGAACACTTAGTATTTAAGTTTCTGGTCCAGTGAATGAAACCATCACACCACGCTACCTTGTTAGGGTGACATCAAGATTGTAGCACTACTTACTACGTATGTGTTTCCATTCTTTTTCACTTCCCCGTTGTCCTTGGCATTTGTACGCATTCCTACTACACGTTCTCATTAAAAACCCAATCTTTGGAGAATACTTTATTGATTCTGGTGTCTTGCTACTCTGCTATTGTATTGATGCCAAATAAATACTGGTTAGTATGTATTGATACAGAATAATACAGTTGTGTTCTTCAATTTAAGATATCATATAAAAAGTATTGTGATAAAATGTTATTGTTGAATATAATGAAATTGAAAAACACAACAAGCCACATTCAGAAAAAGTAATTAATTTCGACTGTTGTCGTGTCTGTCTGAATTATTCTCGCAATCGCAATAAACAAGGCAACGACACACCCTTTCGTGAATGTGGTATATAATATTTATGATAATAAAAATTGTTAAAACGCACACATCTGCTATTCACCTACGTTGGATAACAACTGGTTTCTCTATCCGATTGTCTGGTCCATTAGAAAAGTCACAGTTGATAGCGTGAAACATCGAGTACGATCCGATAGGATCCGAGAGCGATTCGCTATCGATGATGAACCCGATTTTGGGACTATATTGCTCATATATTATGTCTGCAAAGTCCTGAATTTGAATGTTAACAATGTTATTATGAAACAAATTTATTTCAATCTGTCATGCTTTAGTATCGGCTTTGTCTTTAGCAATAAGCATTTTAGTTATTTCAAGCTTTAAGTGTGTACGTTCATTTTCGTGAATTTTAATCAAACGCTAGCAGTAAAATTAATTACCTACAAAAGTTAATGTTATATATCAAGTAGCCAGTATTTGACTTTGCTTTATTAGGCCACAGTGATAGTGTGTTTGTTGTTAAAATCTCATAAAGTAGTATCATGCAGATGCAACAAAGCAGTTGAGGTAGCACTAGCACAAATGTTTTAATATTAGATACGAAAAGTTTTATTGACAATTTCACTAATTTTTAAATTTACATTATTTTTATAAATTTCCTTGATAAACGTACTTAATTATATCGTTTGCATTCAACGTATTAATACATACCGACGTCAGGCTAACTTCAACATCTGGGGTCGTTGGTCTACATTCAATAACAAGTTTACATTGTTGTCTTGGAACAATAACTTCCCTCAAGGGCGCAAACAAGCTATCAGTGCCTAAAAGTTTTATCAATCATGAAATACAGACACAGTGGGTGAATTAATATTTCAATTTCATTACGAGTAAAAATCTCACCATCTACGTAAATGTATATAAAGGCAATATGCTCGGTATTGTTAGGTTCTTCGATGAGGTTATTTAGTATGTCGCTACCGTTGACCGTGTCGTCGTAACAAGCGTAATAGCCAATCGCAAACCGGTCAACATTGTACAACTCGAGCACCGTTTCGAACGTGGACTCGTCGTCCAGGTTTGACGTGTTTTTCTGTTCTATCCGAAATGGTCCGATTACTTCTTCGGGTACTTCTTGTTGCCTAAAATTTAACGGTGTTTTTCCTCTACATATTAGGGTAAAATTTTGCCCCGCTTCCAGTGTTATTTCGGTTTGACATGGACTTATAATCGGGCCATTCTGTCGTGGGTCATCTGAAAGCGACAATGGGAGCAAACCTTTAACGAATACTTCATGTCAATGTATTTTGCTGTAGTTACTGATGGTTGATTTATTGTAATGATAGTTAAATAGCATTTATAGTATAACTACACTTAAATCTTAAAAGTTATGATACTATTCAACTGAATGATTTGTTTAGGTATTGTGTATTTCAATAGCTTGAAAAATAACTCTATCGTCTTCGATGACGTAACTCATCAATTTAGATGGATAAGCAAATATCGATGGCTTTACAAGGGCGAGCTTAGAATTTCAACGAGCTAATCGAAGGGTAATATATCACGAGGCAGGTAACTGAGTGACAACAGCAACTTGACGAGCTTATCATCATACTAATGGCATTGGTAACGTGAGCCCCAACAACGCGGGCGAACTACTGCACACCTATCGAAAACACTATTAATTAGCAATGTTCGCGTCCAGGGCGTGACACAGGTGCGGTCAACATTCGGAAAATTAATCCTACCAGTAGGATAGCAAGTGAACCACAACGTCATGTCCCTCGCTGATAACAATTGATCGTATTAAACCCTGGAAACAGCGACCAATTAAGTGATTAGGACCCCGCAGCTCTACTTATCAACAAATTAATGGTCATCTCATCAAGCTAAGTGCAACTGGTGACGGCGGTTTCTTTTACAGCTAATATTATATTTCTACTAGCTTTGGTAGCACTGAGGTGTTTGTCCGCAAACGTATATTGTTCATAAATCGATGACCACAGCGCCCACGTGCTGTGTGTGGGAGAAGTAAACAGCTAAGATCAAATTAAAGTTGTTGCCAATACGATTTGAGTCCCCATTAGTTCTACAAGGAAGCAATGTGTAAAGTAATTTTCCAATTTAAAATTTTAGTTTATCCTACAATGGCAATGTCAATGTGTACAAGAAATAATTTTACGTATATGCTATAAGTTCAAAATGCTTATGTTTCTTTGCCATAAATATTAATCCTCATTTTGAACACCACAAAATGGAAGTCAAATGGCAGTAGTAGATATCACTAGATTAGAAATATTTGAACGCTCTTTTCGTTTTTTTTTTTTATTGTGGCACCATTAAATTGTTCTAAAACACACGAGTACACTTCCTTTTATTTTAGCTACCTGCTGTAAAGTAAACATACAAGTATACAGCGATGAGATAAATGAAAACAGACAATATTTTTATATAATAATAACAAACATTTAATAAGGTAATCAGCATGTTTATTTATAACTACAATCATTGGTTGCAGTGTGTTTCTAATAATATTATTAAATATTAATTAATAATGAAGGAACAGTGAACGCATCCGGCGAGCCTAACTGTTGGAACAGTGTACAATAATATGTAGAGTAGGTAATTTTCGCAGGAAGTCTGCGTTAAGATATCAGTATGAGCATCCCGTCGGTCAAATTATTATAAAACAAGATACTTCCTTCTGTGGTATAATGAGCACTAACTAGTGACAATGTGGCGTCTTTCTTTGTAGATACTAAAAGTTGTATAGTGCCAAAAAAGTCTTGGTATAAAATTTGAGTAGAAGTTTTACATGCATTTCGAATCAGAAGTTTATATTTAAGAATCCCCCCTTTTGACTCACCCTCTATATCAAGTAATGAACCGCATTCACTAAGAATCATATAATTTTGTTCGGTAAAAATAGAAATGTTTGTTTGTATTATTTATATGAATATTTGTACCATTATACTCACATTATTTAAATGCAAGTCATTCAAAACTATTATCGATTAATTCAAAAACCGAAATCCACTACTTACTGATTATAAGATTGTGAATTGGTTCGTACACTTACATTAATAAGTATCATCGCTCTCATAACAATATATTGCATGCTTTTTCCTCTTCCAAAATTAAGATAAGACCTATTAATAAGTATTATGTGTGAATAAACCACTGAACACCCAATAAATCATGCACGGAATAGCGTACTAATCGTTTATGTCATAGGAACATTATTGTATAATATATATAAAAACAACGTAAAAGCAATAAATATATAGGTTAATGTTATTATCGATTACAAGGTTTGCCGAATTGGTTCACCTGTATGTTTGTTTACCAATAACTGGCATCGATGCTATCTAGTCACGCAATTCGATTCAGAATTAGCTGAAGCAAAGCTGTTAACGAGTTACGACCCCTTCCGTAATATCGATATTCTATTTTATTGTTCTATTTTGATGGACAGTACTGACTCTGGTATTATTAGATTTTTTTGTTGTATTTAATTTAAAATTGGAATAATGAAACGGACGAACAAAGTATTGTGTATGTATAAAACTGTAAAATTAAATGTGTCGGTAAGTGCATAACTCAACAACACCTGTATCAATTTTGTCGGTTCCTTTTTTTATTGTGAAAGAACATTAAAGAAACGAAAGGGGGAAAACAGTGGCTCTTACGTAGTTAGTCAGTTGGACACCAGTACGAAGCGCAATATTTCACGAAGCATTACTACCTAGTACCTAGATAAAATTGCTTCCATAATGGTTTTATTTATTTTTAAATTATGAATATTAATGCCAGATGGTTTTTATTTTAATGATTTTTTAATTGCATTGCGTAGGTATAGGTGCTATTATTTTCTAAATTAATTTGCAG